CAGACAAGCCAAGCCAAATGCTGTGTGCTCCGTAGACATGGGCCCTTAAAACTGAGATATTGGAAAAGGGCCAAGGACACAAGGGGTGATAAGCGGTATATTGGTACCACGCAGGGTATTTGACATAATTATTCCTACTATGCTAAAGCTAGAGATTTTAAACTTGCTTCTTTATTATGCTAAAGCTAGATATGTTATCCTTGCTTCTTTGCTTTGATAAAGCTAGACATTTTGTGCTTGCTTCTTTATCATGCTAAAGATAGAGATTTTATATTTGCTTCTTCATTATGCTTAAGTTAGATATTTTACACTTGCTTATGTAATTGCTAAAGTTAGAGATTTTAGACTTGCTTATGTATTATGCTAAAGCTAGACCTTTTGTACTTGCTTCTTTAATATGCAAAAGATGGAGATTTTATACTTACTTCTTTATTATGCTAAAGAGAGATTTCTAATGATCTAGTGATCTAAAGATTTGACAAAGGCCGAAAATAATGTAAACATGTGATTTACTTAGACGGAAACTAGTTAGATGGATTTTATTACAAAGTTATTTTAGTGGTTTGAAAGATTTAAGAAGCAATATTATAATAGCTTTATCCAAGTCAAAATAGATGAATGCCATCCATCCATCCATTTTCTTCCGCTTCATCCGTTGCCGGGTCGCGGGGGCAGCAGTCTAAGCAGAGACGCCCAGACTTCCCTATCCACACACACCTCCTCCAGCTCGTCCGGGGGGACTCCAAGGCGTTCCCAGGCCAGCTGAGAGACATAGTCCCTCCAGCGTGTCCTGGGTCTTCCCCGGGGCCTCCTCCCGGTGGGACATGCCCGGAACACCTCCCCAGGGAGGCGTCCAGGAGGCATCCGGAACAGATGCCCGAGCCACCTCAACTGGTTCCTCTCGACATGGAGTAGCAGCGGTTCTACTCCGAGCTCCTCCCGTGTGACTGAGCTCCTCACCCTATCTCTAAGGGAGCGCCCAGCCACTCTGCGGAGGAAGCTCATTTCGACCGCTTGTATCCGCGATCTTGTTCTTTCGGTCATTACCCAAAGCTCATGACCATAGGTGAGGGAGGGGACGAAGATTGACCGGTAATTTGATAGCTTTGCCTTTCGGCTCAGCTCCCTCTTTACCACAACGGTCCGATACAGCGACCGCATCACTGCGCACGCTGCACCGATCCGCCTGTCAATCTCACGCTCCATCCTTCCCTCACTCGTGAACAAGACCCCGAGATACTTGAACTCCTCCACTTGAGGAAGGGCCTCTCCTCCCACCCGGAGAGGGCAAGGCACCTTTTTCCGGTCGAGCACCATGGCCTCAGATTTGGAGGTGCTGATTCTCATCCCAGCCGCTTCACACTCGGCTGCAAACCGTCCCAGTGCATGTTGTAGGTCCTGGTTCGTTGGAGCCAACAGGACAACATCGTCTGCAAACAGCAGAGATAAAATCCTGTGGTCCCCGAACCGGACCCCCTCCGACCCTTGGCTGCGCCTAGAAATTCTGTCCATGAATACAGTGAACAGAATCGGTGACAAAGGGCAGCCCTGGCGGAGGCCAACATGCACCGGGAACAGGTCTGACTTACTGCCGGCAATGCGAACACAGCTCTGGCTCCGGTCATACAGGGACCGGACGGCCCTCAGCAGAGGACCCCGGACCCCGTACTCACGGAGGACCCCCCAAAGGACACCCCGGGGAACACGGTCGAACGCCTTCTCCAAATCCACAAAGCACATGTGGACAGGTTGGGCGAACTCCCATGAACCCTCGAGTATCCGATGGAGAGTGTAGAGCTGGTCCAGTGTTCCACGGCCGGGACGAAAACCACACTGCTCCTCCTGAATCCGAGATTCGACCATCGGCCGTAACCTCCTCTCCAGTACCTTGGAGTAAACCTTACCAGGGAGGCTGAGGAGTGTGATCCCACGATAATTGGAACACACCCTCCGGTCCCCCTTCTTGTAGAGAGGGACCACCACCCCGGTCTGCCACTCCATTGGCACCGCCCCCGATCGCCACGCGATGTTGCAGAGATGTGTCAGCCAAGACAGTCCTACAACATCCAGAGACTTTAGATAGTCAGGACGGATCTCATCCACTCCCGGCGCCTTGCCACCAAGGAGGCTGCCAACCACCTTGGTGACCTCTGCCAGGGTGACAGAAGTATCCGCCCCAACATCCTCAGCCTCTGCCTCCGGAGCGGAGGACGTGACGGGGGGATTGAGGAGAACCTCAAAGTATTCCTTCCACCGTCCGACAATATCCCCGGTCGAGGTCAGCAGCTCACCCCCCGCACCGTACACGGTGTTGGCAAAGAACTGCTTCCCCCTCCTGAGGCGCCGGACAGTTTGCCAGAATCTCTTCGAGGCCGACCGATAGTCATGCTCCATGGACTCTCCGAATTCCTCCCAGTCCCGGGTTTTTGCCTCTGCAACAGCCCGGGCCGCGGCACGCTTGGCCTGCCGGTACTGGACAGCTGCCTCAGGAGTCCCCCGAACCATCATGGCTCGATAGGACTCCTTCTTCAGCCTGACGGCATCCCTTACTGCCGGTGTCCACCACCGGGTTCGGGGGTTGCCGCCGGGACCAGCACCAGAGACCTTGCGACCACAGCTACGAGCCGCCGCATCGGCGATAGAGGAAGAGAACATGGTCCACTCAGACTCAATATCCCCCTCCTCCGCCGGGACCTGGGAGAAGCTCTCCCGGAGGTGTGAGTTGAAAGTCCGTCTGACAGGGGGCTCAGCGAGACGTTCCCAGCAGACCCTCACTACACGCTTGGGTCTGCCAGGTCTGACCGGCTTCTTCCCCTGCCAGCGGATCCAACTCACGACCAGGTGGTGATCGGTTGACAGCTCCGCCCCTCTCTTTACCCGAGTGTCCGAAACACGCGGCCGAAGGTCAGATGATACGACAACAAAGTCGCTCATCGACCTCCGGCCTAGGGTGTCCTGGTGCCACGTGCACTGGTGGACACCCTTGTGCTCAAACATGGTGTTCGTGATGGACAAACCGTGACTAGCACAGAAGTCCAACAACTGAACACCACTCGGGTTCAGATCAGGGGGGCCATTCTTCCCGATCACCCCTCTCCAAGTGTCACTGGCGCTTCCCACATGGGCGTTAAAGTCCCCCAGGAGAATGACGGAGTCCCCGGGCGGTGCACCGTCCAGTACCCCTCCCAAGGACTCCAAGAAGGCCGAGTACTCTGCACTGCTGTTAGGCCCGTAGGCCGTCACAACAGTGAGAGACTTGTCCCCCACCCGAAGGCGGAGGGACGCGACCCTCTCATTCACCGGGGAGAACTCCAACACGTGGCGGCTGAGATGGGGGGCAATGAGTATGGCCACCCCAGCTCGCCGCCTTTCCCCGCGAGAAACACCAGAAAAGTGGAGCGTCTAACCCCTCTCAAGGAGTTGGGTTCCAGAGCCCAAGCTGTGTGTGGAGGTGAGGCCGACTATCTCTAGTCGGTACCTCTCGACCTCCCCCACAAGCTCGGGCTCCTTCCCCCCCAGTGAGGTGACGTTCCACGTCCCAAGAGCCAGATGTTGGGTGTGCGGACTGGGTCGCCGAGGTCTCCGCCTTCGACTGCTGCCCAGTCCTCTCTGCACCGAGCCGCCACGGACCCCTCTGCGGGTGGTGGGCCCACAGGAGGGACTGCCCACGTCGTCCTTTCGGGCTGAGCCCGGCCGGGCCCCGTGGGCTAAGGCCCGGCCACCAGGCGCTCGCATTCGAGCCCCGACCCCAGGCCTGGCTCCAGGGTGGGGCCCCGGCTGCGCCATGCCGGGCGACGTCACGGTTCTTCTTTTCGTGCTGTCCATGTTGGCTTCTGACTGCTCTTCGTCTGACTCGTCACCTGAGACCTGTCTGCCATGGGAGACCCTACCAGGGGCATGAAGCCCCAGACAGCATAGCTCCCAGGATCATCCGAGTACTCAAACTCCCCCACCACGTTAAGGTGGCAGTCCAGGGGGGAGATGAATGGATGGATTAATCAAAATGACAGAAATGTAACTTTTTCCTTTGTCCAAAATGTCTGCATTGTCTGGGGATTTGGGAACCACATGTCAGTTTTTATCAAGTCATTGTTATGTCTTTGTTTGAGTTGTAAACTGTCCATACACACAATTTTGGAAGGTATTTTTTTGGCAATCAATCAATATGACATGAATTACTTTGAAGAAACCAACTATTCTCAATAAAACATATTTTTCCTTGAAGTGAATTAAACTTCCCAGTCAGACAGAGAAACAAAGTAGTCTGTGAACTTGCAAAAGAAAAGTGAAGGACTTAATTGTTCCTACATTAGCAGCCTGCTCACAACGATACAGCTGTGTCTCTAATTAGCATTTCTAATATCCCACAATGCACCACAGCATCTCATCCATTCTCCTGTGATGACCTCGTATTCTTCTGAGGACTTCGGGTCAAGTGTCTGTGGACTTCACGTCACCATGAAAGAACCAGGGGCAGAACCTTTGGGCTCATGTGGGCCTTTGTTAGAAATAAGACTTCTGAATATAATTTAAAAAAAACGTGGTGTTTTTACTAAGTCTGTTGTTGACTGAATACAATACCTGCTTTTAATCAAAGGATTATTCTACGATATCTGTCAGCCCAGAAGCCCTGGTTAGTTATGTCAACCCGTTTTAGCACATAACAAATAAAAACGTACTTACTTAAAATCTGCTTAAAAACTAAACAAAGTAAAATGCTAAAGCTAGAGATTGTATACTTGCTTCTTTATTATGCTAAAGCTAGAGATAAACAAAATTGTGGGTATTTCTCAGAATTCCAATGATTTGAACGGAAGCAGTCAAAATGACGGCTCTTGGACTAGTCATTTCTGAATTCTGGGAGTCCTAGAGTTAATCAACAATAGGACAAAAGGATTTCCAGCCCATTTGCAGTTGAAGATACTGCATCAATGATACTAGAATAAGGCCTGTAAAAGTATGTGTTTCTATTTGGTGTAAAATATAAAACTGAGCTGTACCTTTTTAATGACGCTGTCCAAGGTCTCAGGACGGCTGACATCGAAGCAGATGAGAACCGCGTCCGAGTCTGGATACGCCAGAGGCCGCACGTTGTCGTAATAAGAGGATCCTGTGGACAAAGAAAGATCATAATGTAATTATGAGTCCTATTATATTAGAAATGGAGCTGGAATAGAGTTTAGAGTAGATTAAAGTGAACATTGGTTTTCTTTGAATGTACAACCAAGAAGGAACAATGAGTGTGACAGTATTTATAGATTTTAGTGGTTGATTTATTATAATAGGGCATTTTACCATCACCGGTCGCATTAACCACATGTGCCCAATGCTCTTCTAAGGAAAAAAATATAGACATTTAGAGAGATCCATGAACTTTTACCAACATTTATAGACATTGATGATCCTGCTGCCTATGGGCCAATGGCTGCTATGTGTTTGCTATCATTTTGCTTTTCCTGAGTTCAGACGGCTTGATTTTCGAATTGATAACTTTGTAAAGTCCTGTTGCGATTTAAGGCTACACAAAAATAAATTGTTTTGAACTATTTGGGCTAAAAGCTGGGCTGTTCACTGATCGTCCATTTTTTCAGGTTTGAAAGTAGTTACTCCACTTTAACTTTATAATTGTATCTCATTGCTTAACCCTTTAATGTTCACTCCTTGAAGAAAGGGATGCACATTTTTCCCTTTTTTAGACATAGGACACTATTTTTTTAACTTTTTTTTTAAACCCTTTGTTTTTTTTATTCTAGGCCTTTACCATATGGTTAAGATGCAGTTTGATGGTAAAATTGCCTAAAACCAAGTGAGATGTCCCAAGGAGGTAGATTTCTGTTCCAAGCTTCAAGTAGATATAGTGAGTCAAAAGGGGAGAAACAATTATAGGGTTAAGTATGAACTGCAACTCCAAAAAATTAGTGAATGTTGGTGACAAATCCTCCAAACCAACTCAGTCTAAAGTGAATGATCCCTGGTGTCTCTGGGTTTAACGTCTGATCTGTTATTCCTGGACACGCACCGGTCTGGGCTGCACCTTCATCACATCTGAAGGCTGCGAGCGGAGTGGCGCCTGCTGATTTCACAGGCCTCGCGGTTACGTGGCTGCGCTCTCATTAGAGACTTGTAAAAATCACTGAGGTTTTCCAGAAATGCTGCGGCGGATTGGATTTGGGAACAGCGTCTTCTGAACCCCACAGGAGGAAAAGGCTGGCAGGAACCTATGGGACAATTTAACCGGCTGCAAATATTCAGCACAAGGATCCTCAGTGTGTAACAGACAGGTGCCACAGCTTCAGTACGGAAGGCTTTTGGGGGAAAGAAAATAACTTTATACCACACTGGCATATGGATGTTGTGACTCAATAATTCATTACTGCAGAGCAAGGGCACAGCATGCTACATCTTTAACAGTATATTGATTAGGAAGAGTTTAGAGTTTTAGAATAGTAGCTCAATAGAAGAAGTAACAGCAGAAAAACAAGTTTCAAAACAAGTCGAAACAAAGAAGTACTACACAGTGTATTGCGAGCGAGTTGAGTCGTAATAGAAACAGAGTAATATAATTAACAAAAACAATGTAACAAAATTGTTATCCATAGAAAAACGAATGAAATCCCAAAAAAATGGGGTTGATTTAAGGACGGCCACCTTTTTTTGCATTGTCTGTCTCATTTTATCAACAGACATTATTTATCATCCCATATTCATTACTTGTGCACAAATTAAATACATAATAATAATGATTAATACATTCTGAAATATTCAGTATATTATCTGAATTTGTTCACTTCCAAATCTTTTGGCGAGCTACTGTACCTAGAAGAGGGTGGCGAGCTACTGATGGCTCCCGAGATACAGGTTGGAGACCCCTGTTCCAGTTATTTTCTAATCTGCAGCTGAATCAACAATTCTGTGATGCCCTCGAGACGACTGCTGTTGTGACTTTGAGCTATACAATAATAATAATAATACAAATTTGAAAAAAGACTGAAAATTGATCAATTTATATTTGTTACGACGACATGTGCAGATCAACAACCTATAACCCATGTTTCTGTGCAAGCCAATAATATCAACCTCTGAAGCTGTGCAGGGCATGGCCTGGTTAGTACTGTGATGGGAGACCTCTGGGAACACCAAGTGCCACAGTGGGGCGGCTGCGGCTGTAAAGTGCCAAACTGCTATTATGTCCTTAGGCACTTCACCCACATTGCCTGGAATGAGTCTGGTGTGTGTCTGAATAGTTGGTGGTGGGCAGAGGGGCAGATGGCACATACTGGTTGCCTCGCTTCTGTCAGTGTGCCCCAGGGCAGCTGCGGCTACAGTAGTTGTTTACCAGCAACGTGTTTGGAGTGAAAGAATGACATGTGAAGCATCTTTGAGTTTCCTGAAAAGCGCTCTATAAAATGCATTATTACTATTATTGTACACACGAATTGGAAAAAAATCTATTGCGATCACATTTCACACATTTTATCTGAATCTCGAGGCCTGATGTAGTCCTTGTCCCATCTGTATACTTACTAACAAACATAATGATAGTCGAACACTTTTAGCCACACCGGTCCTGATTACAGCCTCCATTCATCACACTGTCATCACCAGCCTCACAGCAGCCTCCGCACAAAGCTCCAATCAGCCTGTTCCAGCTCCACATGTCTCCGTAAACTGCGCTCAATGGACTCTGCACAAAAGCTCCGTGGCCTCCTTCAGCATCTGGATGTCTCTTTGTCCACGTGGAAAAGAGTTTTTGACAATAGATCCACGCGGCCCCTCACGCTCTGCTCTCTCAGCTGCTGTTTATGAATGACAAGTGTTTTCCCATTGTGACGCAAGAGGCTGCCGGGTTATGATTGATGCGCTGAGAGACAGTTTTTTTGAGCCGTGTTTCGATCAAGACGAGGCACAAATGAGATCAAATGTATAAAGGCACTATATGATCGTGAATATGAACAATATTGACTTCTGAATTATTAAATTGGAATGTTCCATCTTATCCATCTATCTTTTTCCTCTTTATCGCACACTCTTAAACACTAAAAACATCCTGGAATTTAATCAATTAATAATTGTTAAGAAAATAACCAATTATTGAAATAGTTTAGTTTTTTTAACTATACCTGGATCAAAACGTATTAATAAAATGTTTTAAGAATCCGACAGAGCTATAATTACTTACAGAATGAGATAAAATTAAAAAATCTAATCAAACAAATAATGTTACATCTGGTCTATCTAAAAAAATTCTCTCCAATGGCATCGCTTTAACTTTGTTTTGGTCAAATAATAAATTATCAAAATAATTGCTCATTATTTGTAGACATTCTTATTTCATTTCATAATATCGCAGAAAATAATACAAAAACAAACTTTTTAACCACAAATGTGCTTGTTCTCCCAGTTCTTAACTGTGGAGAGATTTGAGGAAAACAGTGTAATTCTGGACAGAAGAGATAAAATAACATCTACAGTACAAGCATAATTGGATGGAATTGACCTAAAAGACCTTTCCATCTGGAAACTTCCTACTGCTTCTACCACTGCCGCTGTTACTGCTGCTATGAAGTTTACTATAATTGCTAGGAATGCATGACAGCCGGTTATATCATAATCTCACCCAAAGCAAATGAACAGTGGAAAGTCATCGTCATTCTTGTATTGCACATTCTTTCACTTCTGTCCAATGGAGACGATGATGGTGTCATGGCGTGGACTTTCGGGATTTTTGTGACCTGGTTTTATTTAATTTTACTAGTTTGAGTTTGCCCCCTGTGTGTCCTGTTGATTGTTTAAAGACCTTATGACGGGTTTGATTTATTTAGAAATACAGTTTTAATACCATTTTATATTAGAAGAGAACTACTAAAGGTTTCAAAATCAGTTGTTGTTTTTTTTGTCTGATCCCCCCAAATCGAAATAACCCCATAGCAACGCCCTTAGAAACGAAAAAACTTCACAGCCCTTGGTGACGTCAGAACGGGTACGTTTCAACGCTGTAAGTTGTTTACAATTTGGTATTCGTTCTTTTTTCGCGGATTTTCAAGATGACAAGGCCGTGTACAGCGAGTCTAAGATAAGTACTAGAGTGTAACATTTCGTTGCCACTGAGATAGTCCAGTGGTTGTGTCAATGGACTGTCGACCCAGATACTTGGGTTCAATTCCCACCTCGGACACTTTTTCACACTCAAAACGGCAATTTATGTGTAGTGAGCAATAGGGCACTGTCCGGTTTCCGAAATGTGCTAAAAATAGCTCAGATGACTGCGCATGCGCGCATGTTTCGGACAAACATTGTGTACGACGCGTTGAGTACTACTGTGTTCTCCTCATACGCGTGTGTATTTATTTGGGCTAAATCATTGAATCATGGTGACAACAAAACACTGCAGTTATGGTGCTTGTCGGAGCGATTTCAGATACTCTGAAAAGGACTATATGAAAGTAACATTCAACCCGTTCGTTAAACCACACCATCGGACCAGACCAGGACCAGACCAGGACCAGATCAGACCAGGTGGGTGCTTGTGGTCGGCAGAATTTCTCTCATGAAAAGGTTAAAAAGGGCACATGTTTTTTCAAAACACTTCGCTGGACCAACTGTGGAGCATCCAGATCCAGTCCTAGCTACGTTTAGCTGGGACTGGATCTGGACCGCTGTATCAGGTCCGTCTGAGCTCTTCTGAATGTAGTTAGCACAAACTTTCTCTTTACACCATTTACCCCCATCAATCCATATTAGTATTGTTTGTCCTAATCCAGAAAGTATACAATTCTCACACCTGAAGAAAGATGAGAGGGATTTTTTTCAACTTTGTGTCTGCTTATTATACGGCTTTGTACCAATTGAACACACAAAATAAACGTCATTCACTACTCATGCCGAAAGGTTTATTTAATGAGTGCAAAGAAAATAGTTCCCAAAGGTTTTCCCGTGGCAGGCGAGTAACAGTGAGGATAGTTAACCTAAAAGCGATCGCTTTAGTCGCATTAAAAAAGTATTTTTGTCATGAAAACCTGAACAGTTAATTCTGAAAACCTCCGTGCACTTGTGTTATGAATGTGTATAATGTATTCTCCCATTAACATTTAAATGTGTTGATTGATTGTC